ATGCCAGGTATATAATTCCCCTTTTTATAATGAGCATTTAAAGTTTGTATATCTTTATTCTTTTAATTAAAATTTCAGAAAAAAATTAGACTCTTAAGTAATCATCACCAAAGCTGATATTCTTTCTGCTTAGTTAGCTTATTTATTTATATATTTATTTTCTCCTTTGAAGAGACACCATCTGGATTTGGCATAACAATCTTGGCAAATAGGTGAAGCACCATTCTGATTTCACACGAAAAAAGTAAGGCTCACAGTGACTTAATGTCCCAATGCCAGTCATCAGCAGCAGCAGCTTCTCTCCTTAACTTCTGAGACATTTCCACTGGGTCTTCAGTAGCTTACAAAAAGATATCAGTAAAATTCCCGTATTCTTAACATCTTCCTCAAACAAGTTTTTAAACTTCTGGGTCTGTCTCTTGGTTCTCCCATAAGGATGGTGCTGCCTTCTCCTGATGCCCTTTGAAGCGCTGGCTGTTTCCTGCTCTGTAGGTCTTATCACCAGGACTGAAGGTGGGAGAGACGCCCTTGTTCCATAGTGCTGTTTTCAGATCATTCTCCATCTTCCTTAAAAACGTTTACATTTGATTATCAAACCATATGATCATACCTCCTGCCACTTAACTTGTTGGCCAACACCTATATTGTTTCCTTAAATTTCTTGAAGATTTTGGCTCCTTGATCACAGTAATTCTGTTACTATGCTGTCATAATTCTTAGTAATTCCAATATTAGTACAGATTATTCTAAGACCTTGGACTCTCAGTTCTCTGATTCTCTACTTCCGGTCATGTTGTACACCTCCCCCCACATCTGCACAAATGTAATTATTCTGAAGACCTAGTTGACAGCAGTTTCTGCACCTTCTTCATAATACCAATTTCGGGCGTCCCAGTCTCTACTACCTCCTCTTTCCAGCCCCCTTCCTTTAGTAACCAAACTTCAGTAATTTAAAAACCCATGTAAGACCTTAAAATCCATTGGCCTTTTCATGTTCCTCAGCCCTCTTCTTCATCAACTTAGATTCCCTGTTTCATAAATGTAATCACTACATTGCATTTACTGTCTTCAACTTACCTGTTTTTCATTTATTGTACAAGGTTGAGAAAACCTTAGTTCTACTTAAATGCAAATCTCCATCCATGAAAATAAATGAATGTGGCTAGAACAAAACCGACAAATACACTGTCTCATTTTGAATACAGATTAACTATCTTCAAGTGACCTTTATGTACTTTTCAAATCCCACGTCAAATCCACTAGCAAATCCTACTTACTTTTTATTCCAAAGATACTTTGAGAAATGCCCCACTTTTTACTGTCTCTCTTGCCTACCACTCGTCCTAATTACCATCATGTCTTAGATTATAACCCCTCAGTGCCTCCTCTGCTTTCCATTTGTCCCTCTGCAGTTTCTTCTCAATAAAGAGCCCAGAACCTTTTAAAATGTGAGTCAAATTATAACTTTTTTTTTTTAAAAAATCACAACCCTTCAGTACCTTCCCATCTCTCTTCGAGCGGCCCCCACACGCTGCACGATCCGGCTCTGCTGTTCAAGCCTCATCTCCCACTGTTTCCCTCTCTTTTCAACTAATTTCAGCCACTCTGGCCTCCTGGCTTTTCCTTGAATCTGCTAATAGTAATCTTCTTTTAAGGCCTTTGCGCTTGCAGTCTCCCCTGGAAGGCTTTCCCCCAGATTTTCTTGCTCCTTAGCCTTCTTAAGGTTTTTCGCCTACCTGTTTAAAATAGTACTGCCTCTCACGTACCCTTTATTTTTCTTCATAAAACCTATCAGTGTTTGCCATATTATATATTTTACTTGTTGGTCCTATTTTCCTTTATTAAAATGTAATCTCATTGTTATGTGTGCAGCATCCGGGACAGTGCCTGATGTTCAGCTATTTGTTAAATGAATGGATGGAAGATCAGTAAAGCAGTTATCTGGTGAAATTGTTAAGTGCATGGTTAAGCAGGATGTATGGGTTGGCCAAAAAGTTTGTTTGTTTTTTTCTATAAGATGGCTCTAGTAGTGCGTAATTGTCTTTAACTTGATTCAAAACAATTTTGTTAAGATTGTATTGTGACAGCTGTCATATCAGTGTGCTTTAAAAAAAAATTACCAAAATTGGTGAATTTTCATGTACCCGTTTTAATATTGAAGATGGAAGAAAATATGCAACATTTTCAGCATATTATGCTTTATTATTTCAAGAAAGGTAAAAACACAACTGAAATGCAAATAAGGATTTGTGCAGTGTATGGAGAAGGTGCTATGACTGATCAAACATGTCAAAAGTGGTTTGCGAAGTTTCGTGCTGGAGATTTCTCCTTGGATGATGCGCTATTAAAATATCCAAGTCAATAAAGTTATTGAAAAATGTGCCTCTTTATTCTAGGGGAGAAAACCATGTGGACTTTTTGACCAACCCAATTGTATGGTTGAAGTAAAAGAAATGACATATATACAACATCAGTGCCCTTGTCCTTCAGTTGCTTAGATGTTGGAAGGATATACCCCACATGTTAACAATAGTTGTCTTTAGTTGGTGGCATTTAAAATTTCATTGTCATGGTTGTTTTTCTGAATATTTGGGAAATGAGCATATTTTACTGTGTTTAGGACATTTTAATTCCATTTTGTAAAATTAAATATAACACCTAGGGCCCTGGCTGGTGTGGCTTAATTGGTTGGAGCGGCGTCCTATAACTGAAAGGTCGCAGGGTCCATCCCTGGTCAGGGCACATACCTAGATTGTGGGTCTGACCTCCAGTCAGGGCATGCACCATCACCCGTCTGAGTGTGTATAGGAGGCAACCAGTTGATGCTTCTCTCTCGCATCAATGTTTTTCTCTCTCCCTTCCTCTCTCTCTATAAGCAATGAGAAAATGTCCTCGGGTGAGGAATATATACATATTTTTATATCTCACCTAGAAAAATGATGTGATTCCCTTCACTGAAGGACGTAAAGGAAATCATTTTACCAATGAGAATGTTATCACATGTATGATAGGTAGGTACTGGGTAATCATTTTAAGAATGCTCTTAAAAATAAGAGAAAAAATAAAAATGGAAGAAAAGATTTTACTAGTGTCTTACTATAACTTCATTTTAAGACTTTACATTTCTGGATTATCTGTAATGAAGTGCTCTAGTAACTGAGCCCTCTTACATGTTGCCCACTAAATTCTAATACAACAGAAGAAAACTTTGAAGTTCTGTGAGGGCCTTTTAAAAAAATCTCTGCTTTCATATTTGTCAGAGTCTCAGCTGTTTAAAAAAATTTTTATGTCTTTAACGGTCTGTGATGTTCATAATACTGGTGATGACTTTTTGAGGACCTGGCTTGTATCTTTTTCATCTTTGGGTTCTTATTACCTAGCACAGTACTTGATATATAGTAGGTACTCAGTAAATGTTTGTTGAATAAATGCTTCTTCCCCCCAATTGATAAGTGACATACTAGTCTTTTATTGCTATTTTTATGAGGAAAAAACTTTTGCTTGGATAGTAAATCCCCCAATGCCATAGATAAACTTGTGTGGTAGTTTGCGAGTTGTGGGAGGGACAGAAGGAGAGAGGAAGAAAAGAAAAAAAATTGAACAATGATAGACTGTTCCATTTGAAAAGACAAATACACACACAAAATGGCAGACTTCATTTTAAAAAAATTGGACAGTGATTTCATTGGGGATTTTTCCTAGTGACATTTGTCCTTACTCTTGTTAAATTAGGAAAGTATTTTAGCTTTAATATTATGATAGCCTAGATGTATAAATGTCAGTGCTAATAGCTTAGTATTTAATCTTCTACATATTGATGCCTATGGTATCTGGACATTTTTTGGCCTGTTCCTGTAAATAAGGTCTCAGTGATGTTTAAGGAACAGCAACTTGTGGCCAGAAAAGAAAAAAGCTCCATATTATTCAAGGTAAGCAATATAAATGGGACTCAGGAATCCCTCCACTAAGTAAAAAATCTCCTAGAGAAACATCTCTTGAGCCTACAAACTAAAGACCTTCAATATAATTTTAAATAAAACCTTTTATGTAAAATGAGAGCACTTTTTAGTTGATAATCAATTGACACTATTATGTAGGCTTACTAGATTTGCAAATTCACAAGTTTTTACAAGTCAGTTGGGTCCCTTCCTCAGGAAATCAGTTTAACTTTTTTTCCCCTATATTGACTCAAAGAGCCTAGTTGTCCTTAAATCCTGTGAATATATTTGCCTTATAATTTGACGGCATTGAGTCAACACCCTTATAGGGTTTCTAGTGTTGTAAAAAGAGAAACTGTTCAATAAAAGATCACATTTGAAAAAAAAAAACTGTGCCGGATAAAACCAGTATTGGATGTGAATACTGTGCTTTGCTTTAAAGTACCTACATGTATTCAAGGAAATAAATGCTTACCTCTTACTTTAAAAATACATACTTTATGTTTGGAAAGCAGCTGAGCTATGTCTTTGTGAAATTAAACCATGGCTTTCAATAAATTAAATAAACTATGAAATATTGATATCTTTTAGTAGAAAATTAATTATGTATTTGTGTGAACATCAGTATTTATAAAAATTGCAGAACGATTCTAATTATTACAATAATCAGACTGTTCAATCAAATATGCTTGGGTAAGTGCACCTTTCTATTAATCACTATGTTTAAACTTATTATACTAAGTTTATGTATTTTTTGTGTATCATCAATGTACCCAAAGCTATGTAGATAATAAGGACAATACCTTTCATTTTTTGAGCACTTACCAGTGCGGGTCATGGTGCACTATACATGGATTAATTCTCAATTACTAGGTGTATATTTGTTAGTCTTGATTTTTAGATTTGGAGACTGAGGCATAGAGGAATTAAAGAAATTGCTCAAGATTACATAGCTAGTGTCTAGGCTGGGGGTATAATATTGGAAAGTAAATCAAACATGTTAAAATATATTGATTGACTCTAATATTAAATTTTTTTTTCTGTTTTTGTTCACCTCTCTAGTTGATTTGGAGCATATGCGAACAGTAAAACCTGAAAAACACTTACGGTTTTGCCAGGAAAATGGTTTTAGTAGCCACTTTGTCTCAGCAAAGACAGGAGACTCTGTAAGTAAAGTAGTGAATTTTGAATGTTATAAGTGAGGTTTTACTCACTTATTTTCTCATTTATTTACTAATATTCATAGGAAGTATATACTTCCATTATTTGACTTTTGCAACAAATTAATGCTTACTGAAGACATAAAGTAGATTAGATTAGATATGCTTTTTCTATTTATATTGGTTGTGTAATTAATTTAACATAATTTTGTGGTTATCTTAGAGTATTTAAAAATGTAAGAGTTTAAAAAGAATGTAAAACAGCCGCGATCTCAGCATTCAGAGATGGCCGTCCGCAACCTCGTATGATCCCTTCTGGTCTCCTTTCTCTGATCCTCACACATATTAGTGCTGCCACCAGCAGTTTGCATTTACTGAGTGCTTCCTTTGTGATAGGCACCGTCCTACTCTAATGATCTCTTTTTTAATAGATGAGTCTTAGTGAGATTCTATAATGGGGGGCTAGGTTATACAGCTAATCAGTGGTGGAGGTAGGATTTGCAAACCGAAGTAGTGACACTTCAGGGCTCACTGTATTAACCACACTAAATATTTATTTTAAAGAGTTAAGATCATAATGTAGAAATAATTTTGCTTTACTTTTTGATTTAATATACGCATCTATGGAAAATATTGCCATGTCATTTAATATTACTAAATAGATTTAATAATTCATTAAATAACTATTAAAAATTTCATTCAACGAATTCCTTATTATTAGACATATAGGTTGTTTTCAAGTTTTGACATAATAATTTAATGTAAAACTTTGTCCATATGCTTTGATGTTTTATTTCCTTTTTAAAAAAATTAAAAACTTTTCATTGAAGTGGACCTTCAGTGTTATGTTTCAGGGATACAACATAGCGGTTAGACATTTATATAACTTACAAAGCGATCCCCCTGATTATTTCCTTTATGTGGATTCCTTGAAAAGGAATTGAAACATATTGCCAAATTACCATCAGTATTGTGTGAGTGCCATACCATACCATACGCTCTTTTTTAACATTATTTATTTTCAAATATTTCTCAATTTGGTGGGCAAAAGGGGGTATTTTGCTATTTAAATTTTAAATCCTTTGATTGCTATTGGGGTTGAACATCAAAAAATTTCATTACCTATTTTCTGCCTATTATCTGTTTGTAATATGCTTTTTTTTTAAAAAAAGATTTTATTTATTTACTTTTAGAGAGAAGGAAGGGGAGGAAGGGAGGGTGGGAGAAGGAGAGGGAGAGAAACATTGATGTGTGAGAGAAACATCGATCAGTTGCCTCTCACATGCCCCCAGTTGGGGACCTGGCCCACAACCCAGACCTGTGCCCTGACTGGGAATTGAACCAGCAACTTTTTGATTCACAAGCCAGTGCTCAATCCACTGAGCCACACCAGCCAGCGTTGTAATATGCTTTTAAAAATTATTGTGACCATTTTTATATCAGGGATAACAGCCATTTGTCATAATTTTTGCCAATATTCTTCACTGCCCAGATTTTTGTTCATTAATTTTCTTGACATATTCAGCCAAAAGAAGTTTGAATTTTTCTTTGGTTTGATCCTTTCTGATATTTTGCCTGTATGATTTCCTTCATGGTTTTTATGCTCAGGATAAATATTAAATAAAATAAAGGCTGTTTAATCTTTTTTTGGGATCTGATATTTAAAATTTTGACCTGTTGGAGCGCTTTCTTCCAGGATAATACAAACATTGGCATATACCCTCATATGCCATTAAAAAATATAGCATTGATACTCCTTGATAAGTCTATCTGTAAATTGGGCTTCTACTTTCACTAATCATCCTAGGAGTCTTTAGCCATTTTAGAATTATTTTAACTTCCAGTATTTTAGCTTGTATTTAACCACTAAGTATTTTTTGTGTATTTATGTTGAACCACCACTAAAAATTCTCATTTTTTTTAAAATCTAACTTTGAAATGGTTTGGTGGAATCACTTTGCCTTCGTCACCATACTGAGTGATTTTACTTTGTCCTTCACCCCACCTCAGCCACTCAGTCCCAGGCACTGTCATTGCAAATCACTGCCGTCCTTCTGTTATCTCGTATCTTCATATCAGGCATCCTGATCATTGATGGCCATCCCCCCTTTTTGGCTCACACCTTTGAGTTCCCTAAGCCAATCAGTCTGCAACCTCAGCGGGACCTACAAGACACTGGTCCTAACACCCTTTCAGGGTCCCTAACCTCCTTTCCTGTCCTCATTTTTCACTCTTCCTAACTTAAATATCATGACCAGTGAAAATCGTTGCCATGTGTTTATCCTCCATTCCTGTTCCCCCTCTTTCACTTTATCAGATTCACTTGGCCTTAACTCTGGTTTAAGTCAGACCCCCACCTTTTTATGGCTTCACGCATGTATTTGAACATGATCAGAGAAAAACACAGGCATGATGGAGTTTTCACTTACAATTCACCATCACTTAGTAGGCCCTTAAGGTCCATTGTCTCTCCCCCTCAACTAATGACTGTCCATAGTTTCTCTCCTCTCTTGAAATCTTCAAAACTTCTTTGTCCATTTTCTCAGCTAATAACTGTGTTTCCTATTTTATAATAAATTTGAAACAGAGGACAACTGCCCTGTGCTCCTGCCACCGGATACCCTCACTGTCCTTCCCGCTCTGTATCTGTTCCCTGATACTCTCTCTTTTCTGCCCTTGCTCTGGGATGAACTGTTCATGCTCCTGGTAGGGCCAGCTTTTTGCCTAGTAATGAACAGTGTTTAGCAATTTCTTCCTTCATCATTTTTTCTCTTTACTGGATTCTATCAGCATACAAAATAGTATGACTTACCTTAAAAATACAAAAACTCTTGATTCCACATCTTTCTCTAGCTATTACCTCCTTTCCCCTGCTTTCCAGTGGAATATTTTGAAAGACTTATCTCTAGTTTTCTTCTCCAAGTTTCTCTTGAACAATTCCAGTCAGACTTTTGTCCCTAATATTTCACCTGGAGACTGTTATTTTCAAGGTCACTGATGACCCCCTTTTTACTAAATTCACTCGCCAGTTCTTAGTTCTCATCTTACCTGACTTAGTTGCAGCATGTAAAATAGTTGATTACTCTCCTCTTTAAAATGTTTTCTTCACTTAGCTTCCAGGATGCCATACCTCCTGGTGTTCCTCCTGCCTTGCTAAGTACTCTTTATCAATCCCCTAGGTAGATTTTTTATCTCTTCACCTTCTGAATTTCGGTGTGCCCCTGGGCTCCGTCTTTGTGTGTTTCTTTTTCTGAACATATTTCCTTGATGACCTCATCTAGTCTTGTTTTGACCATACTCAATATTCAGCTGCCCATCTGACACCTCCACTTAGATGTCTACTAGGTAACCCAGTTCATTTAGACCCAGAACTGAGCTTTTGCAATTTCTGCCTCAAATCTTTCACAGTCTTTGCACTTCAATAAATGGCAGTTCTTAACCAGTTGCTAAGACCAATACCATACTGAAGTCATCCTTGACTACTCTGGTTTTGTTTTTTTTTTTTCACACCCCACATCTATCTATCACCAAGTCCTATTGGCTGTACTTTCAAAATATGTCTAGAATCTGGTGATTACTTTTTACCATCTCCTCTGCTATCACTTTGTTTTAAGCCTTCATCCTCTCTTAATTAGTGTCTTCACTGGTTTCTTTTTTTTCTTTTTATCCTTACCTGAGGACACACTTATTGATTTTAGAGAGAGGGGAAGAGAGGAAGAGAGAGGGAAAGAAACATCAGTGCTAGAGAGGAACATGGATTGGTTGCCTCTTGTACACGCCCTTACATGGGACTGAACCTTCAACCTAGGTATGTGGCCTGATCAGGAATTGAACCCATGATCTTCCAGTTTATGGTACAATGCTCCAGAACGAATAAGCTGCACTGACCAGAGCTGGTTTCTTTTTTTGTACCCTGATCTTTTCTGGTGAATATGTAATACAGCTGCCAGATTGAACCTGTTAAATAAAAGTCCCATCAGGCCACCCCCCATGGCTTCCACTTCACTCAGAGTAAAAACCAAAGTCCATCTGAAGGCTACCTGATCTCACAGGATTCGTACCCCCTTGACCTCTTTGCTCATTTTCTTTTACAATCCCCCTTTTTCTCTCTATTCTACCACGCTAACTTTCCTGTTTTTCCCTAAATATTGATCATCAGTGTACCATAATACCTAGTACTTTTTGAGGTGCAAATGGCATAAGGCTTTCAGAGTATGTCCTTTTGATTAAAAATCAAAATTAAATTAATAAAATTGTGATAAATATTCAGTAAGTAATCTTGAGATAAGTAGGAATAAGAAAATGATAGTGTGCTTATGAAGCAAAGACAAGTTATACATTATAGGTAGTCTCTGGCTTGCACTTCTAGGAATCAGAGTGGGCTCAGCCTAAGCTAACTGTGTATGAAAGGCTGTTTATAGAAAAGTGTTTGTAGATTTTTGTTTACAGATAATGGAGTAAACTGCTCCTTTGCTCTAAACTGATAAAATACAATAAGGATGGCTAAACTGTTTTGCTCAAGAGATGTGGAGAATTAAGTGACTTGATGAGAACCACGAAGGTTATTAAAGGGATAGGCTAAAGCCAGATCAAAAGACCAATACAGAACCGGCAGTGAGAAGCCCAGGTATTAAAGTATTGACTAAGGCATTCTCATTTTCTTCAGCACTTATACGAGTTTGTTTTACTAGTATTTTTTTTTTAAATGTGGGAGGTGTAATTAATTGTCTTATGTTAAATCTTTCAAAATGTAAGTTTTTAGGGATAAGTGTATATGTTTAGACCAATTCACTGAATTTCATGAATTTTCAAATTATGGGTTTAATCATTTAAAAAATTATTACACTTAAAGTTTTGCTGTGTTTAACAAATAACGCTATTTTTGGAATAACCTGGCATATCATATTTTTACAATTCTTGCTGTTTATCATTGTTTAGGAAGTTCAATTTATTTGAAGGTAACTTAAGCATGCCTGTTTTAAATCATTTAAACCTATTTTTGGTATGTAGGTCTTCCTGTGTTTTCAGAAAGTTGCTGCTGAAATCCTTGGAATCAAGTTAAACAAAGCAGAAATAGAACAGTCACAGGTGATTATATTGAACTTTATATTTTAAAGAATAATTTATTTCTTAAAAGATTTTTATCCCTGAATTCTTTCACATTTATATATTCTATGTACATATCTCTAAAAATCCTAGAAATAAATTGTGTGTATGAATGAATCACTGTTTTTTGCAGAAGATGGAGGATGTTAACTTTTTGCCAAATTATGATACCCTTGAAACTTTAGTTTGTTCCTTTTGTTGGAAACGTGAGATCAATATAGTATAAATTTCATCAATGGTTAAAGAATGGGTTATGGTGCCGACCATATTGTTGTGTACTTAAGTTCTCCCAGGATCACTGTACAATATTTTAAAAATATTTCATACAAAATTGCAATTATTTTTTAAAGTATTAATTAGGGTTTTCTCCACTTGGCACCTTCCCTGTTTGCTTTGGTAAAACATTATTTTCTCAGTTTTTTAAGTCTGTATACTCTATACTCTAAAACACCCCTTGCTCTAATGATATTAATTACTGATGTGATTTTATTGTTAATTTAATAATGGTGTTGATTATTGAGGATTTCTGAGTTCTTTTACTAGTCCTAGTCAATTTTCTGAGATTAAGAAATAAACATGAATACCAAGAGTCAGGCATTTAAAAATACCACTATAATAGTATACCAATTTGCATGTTTGACAGAATTAAAGGTCAGACAGAGCAAGAGCTTGTAGTTGGAAGTTAAGCTTCAGAAGTGGTTTGCTTAGAAGCAACAAATGAATTACATTTTTCCAGAATCCCTCCCACTCCATTTCCACCCCATTTTTCCCATACTTAAATTTTTCTTTAATTCTTTTTGAGTAAGTTCAGTGTCTTATTTTTGTGGTCACTGCATGTATGTGTGTACATATGTGTTTTAAAACAATTAGGGCAATTATTTATTAAAAATTGTTATGCTGCTGTGGCTGTTGTTAGGACTGGGTTAAAATACTTCGATCTCTGGAAATCTGCTGCTTTCATTTTTCATTATTCAAAATACATTTATTTTAGCACTTAGTTATGGCCAGGAACAGTGTTAAGATATTTTGTGCCATGTAAATCGCTCCCAGACACACAAAAACTCATCACTTGTTTTTGGCCTAGGAGGTGGGACACAAGAAAGAGAAACCACAATGATTTGCTTGATTACATAGAACTTGGCAGACCAAGTGCATCATCTGCTTTTTAGTTTTTATTTCTAAATGGTATTTTGAACAGAATGTCTGGTTAATTAGAGAGTCCGTGAGTGATTATCAAATAATTATAAATGATGTATTGATCATACGTTATATTATAGGGTATAGTGGTGGGTCGGAGGATGATTTAAAGGAGTTTTAAGATCTAGTCCTTGTCTTCAATGAAGAAAATTAATATATTGGTATTATGTGCCAGGCACTGTGCTATGTCACTTAACCCCCATAGTAACTCTGTGGAGCAGGTGGCATTCCATTTTATTTCATAGGCAGGAACAGACTGTGGAGACGATAAGGAACTTTGGACCCGCTGACCTGTGGTCAGGCAGGGGTGGGCCGGGGCCTGAGCTGAGGACTGTCTGCCAGCGCTGCCTGACAGCGCTGCCCTAGACTTGCCACCCCACCCTGTTGGGGGAAGACTCACTGGGCAGTTTGGGGTGGGGGGCAGGGGTTAAGAAAATGGCCAGAAGAGAAGCTGGCATGAACAAGTTGAAAAGCTTAGGCTGTATTTTGGAAAAAGAAGAGTAGTTTGGTTAAAATAAATGACTATTTGTGTTGGAGTGTAAAAGGAATTTGAGAAAAGATTATGGAGATTTACGAATGCCAAGTTGATAAGTTTTATCTAATGTATTGACAGTGGGAAATAATTTTTGAAGCAGGGAAATAAATGGAAGCAGTTTTTAGGTAGGATTAACCTAATGGGATATTTTTGTGTGGTCGACTTGGGAAAGAGATTGAAGCAAGGAAAGCAGGTTACTGCCCTCGATGTGATAAGGACCAGAATCCGAGTGGAAGGGAAGGAATGGGTGTAAGAGACATTTCTAAGGCGAATCAGTGGGTCTTGTGGAAAGAGAGAAGTCTAAGAGAGAAGACACTGGCATCTCTCACCTCCAGGAATGGGGAAGGGCGGCCCAGCGATGGGCGGGCCTCCTGGAAGAGAGAGCACGCCGTGCCCGTGCTCTGGGGCAGCGCTCAGCTGCAGTGAGGACTCAGAGGGAGGCCATGCTTTGGGTGCTTTTGAAAGGCAAAGCTTCATGGAAGCTAGAAGTTTTATCAATATTCTCAGTTCACTCTTAGTCAGACTTAACGTCCAGGTGTGTTCTAACTGGAGAGGTACCAGATGTGCTGACTGCATAGCACTCTGCCCTCCTTGTCCATCCCGCCGTGTTTATTAGGGCCCCGCCTTGTTTATTTTGCAGGCAGGTTTAGATCCGTCTTCAGTTTGTCGATGGCATTCATCAGGTTGGCCAAAAAGTCTGTTACATTTTTTCCGTAAAATAAAAGACACATTTTTCATTTTCACCAATAGCTTTATTGATTTGGATATTTTGGGTATGTCAGCTGTCTTCTGCTCTTGGCTTCTAGTGGGTAGAGGCTGGGGTGTTGCTAAACGTCTTCCAATGCGTTGGGCAGCCCCACAGTGAGGACTTATTTGGCCAGAATGTCAATAGTACCCAGAAACTTCACAACCCACTTTTGACACATTCGATCAACCACAGCACCTTCTCCATACACTGCACAAATGTTTTTGTATTTCAGTTGCATTTTTACCTTTCTTGAAATAATAAAGCATAATATGCCAAAAATATTATGTACCTTCTTCTATCTTCAATATTAAAATGGATGCACAAAAATTCACCAATTTTGATAAGTGTTTTTTTTAATGCACGCCGATACGACAGCTGCCGCAATACAATCTAACACAGTTGTTTCGATTGAAGCGAACAACTGAAGTGCCGCTAGAGCCATCTCATGGAAAAAAACGCAACGGACTTTTTGGCCACCCCCGTTCTTTGAATCCATTCATTTGAAGATGAATTCAAGATACTAGAACCTTTCCCTGTTGGTCAGAATCCTTTATGTGGGAATCTTCAATTTCCTCTCCTGAACCTGATGAATTTGCTGCCTTTGCCAATTAAATTATTGCTTTCACAATTAACATTTCTCAGTGGAAACACTTTTGCAAATTCCTTTCTTGGAAAGGTGTTTCTAAGAATATATACTTGGCAAGCCGCATTAAGCACAGTGTTCTTTTTTAAATTGAAATACATTTGACATATAATGTGTAAATTTAAGATGCATAGCATGTTAATTTGATACATTTATGTATTGTAATGTGAATGCCATTGTAGTGATAAAAAGTACCTCTATAATGTTACATGATGCTTTCTTTTAAGTAGGTGGAATAATTACGTTCTAGGCTCTCAGCAGGTTTGATGATTATTCTCTGTTCTGTACATTATATTTCGGGGGCTTATATACTACAGATTATAAGTTTTCAACCTTAAACAGTATCTACCCTGTCCCTCCACCTCCCATCCCCTGGTAAACACCATTTTATTCTGTGTTTTACAAGTCTGTAAATTCTTTGGAGAATTTTTGAAATTCTCCCTATAAGTGATATTATATCACACTTGTCTTTCTTCGTGTGACTCACTTCACTTAACATAAGGTGCTCAAGGTCCATCCGTGTCGCAGTTGGCACAATGTCCTCCTTTCTCACGGCTGAATAGTAATTCCATTGTGTGTGTCTCCGTGTGTGTATGCCACATTTTATGTATCCGTTCCTCTATTGTTGGACGCTTGGGCTGCACCCATATATTGGCTGCTGTAAATGACACTGTGATGAACATGGTGGTACCTATATCCTTTTGAAGTAGTGTTTTCATTTTCTTTGGATACCCAGGATCGGAACTGCTGGATTATGTGGTAGTTCTATATTTAATTTTTAGAGGAACCTCCGCAGTGGTTTTTATAGTGGCTGTACCATTTTACATCCCCACCAGCAGCGCCAAGGGTTCCTCTCTCCGCACCCTCCCCAGGACCTCTCTTTTGTTCTCGCCCGGTCACTCTAACAGGTGGGAGGTGATAGCTCGTTGTGGTGATAATTTGCATTTCCCTGATGATTAGTGATGTTGAGCATCATTTTCAGGTACTTGTTGGCCATTTGGATGTCAAGAACTCAGAAAAAAAAAGATAAACAAGTTCAGATTTTATGTTTTTTGTTTATATATGCAAGACACATAGAAAACAAAACTATATGTGGGGAGGGAGAGAGAGGGAGGGACGGGGAGGGGAGGATAAAAAAAGGAAGGAAGGAGAAAAAGAAGGAGGGAGAGAATGGAGGTGGGGAGAGAAAGAGAGAGAGCTCTTGTGCCTGGTTTCTATGGGTTTTATGTCATTTAACAGATTCCGCAGGGAATGTGATATAAGGTTTTAAAGTGTTTTTATTTATTTTATAGAAAAGGAGGTAGATGGTAGACTCACCAGTCATGTGGAAATTGATGCTACAGTAATTGAATTGGTGACAAACATTTGTAATAAGGCCTTTTAGTCTTAGTTTCATTCACTGATTGTTCAAAGAGATTACTTTAGTGCTTACCTAGATCATTCTTGTTGAGGGGTCATATAAAATGAGTTACCAGCATCTCGTGCAGGTTTTGTGAGGAAGAGAAAGGGGAAGCGGGAGAACAGAAAGGGAATGCACTTTGTGAACACAGCAAACGTGTTTGGAGGGTCTGCTTTGTGCCAGGGACCACCCTAGACTCTGGGGGTGTGGAGATGACTAAGTTGAAGTCCTTGTCCTCGAGGCGCTCCCAGCGTAAATGGGGGCAGACAGATATTTAAACAATGAAGTGTACTCTCGTTTCACTTCTCACAACTCCCAATTTAGTTAATAGTTTTGTTTTCATTGTCTATCTGTTCTCTTTCCTCTGGTCCCAACCGTTCTTCTCTGATTTAGTGTAAAAGTTGGGAATAATTGTTAGTAAATGTCCTAGTTTCTCAGCTTGTTCAGATTTTTTTGTTTACAAAGTAGTCAAATCTTTAGGATAAAAAATAAACTTACTACTGCTACCCTTAGGAAGTCTGGCATTCAGCTCTTCAATAATGCATTAGGTGGTCCAAAAAGAAAATGCATAGTCTTAATATCTTACCTCTTTCCGTCTAAATTACTCTCTGGGATAATAAGGGTTAAACTGGTGTTCCCAAAGCTTCTTCCCTCCTGGAGTGTAAACTTCATTATCTACACTCCATTGACTAATTGCAGAGAACAGTGGAGTGTACTTTGTGGCTCCAAAAAGAGAAGTCGGTGTTTTATAGGTAACATTTTCTCTGAAAGCAGCAGCGAATGACTTTTAAACAAGCCGACTACTGTGAAATCACCTGCCATGCAGTTTATGGCATGGAAATTCTGTTTTGCTCCTCACAGAAAGCAAAACCTTGGTTCTGGCTTCCAGTTCAGAAACTCTGGACAAAGCTTTATGTCAAACAACGAAGGTCCCCAAGAAGGATGTTGCCTTTTTAGTTCTTCATTAATTTGAGGAAAATTAATGGTGAATACCCAAGCCATTTATGTTAGTCAATACTTTGACCAGATGTCTTGACCAGAGGTCAGTAACTTGGTTGTGTTTATAGGATGGGGTTTAAACCAACTTTTGGAGGATTAATGAGTCGCTTACTGATTATGAAAATCCCTTTTCTTTATTGTAACCCACAGTTTGTCATGAAACAATTAGGTTCAGGGAGGGCAGATAATGGTATTCAACTTTCCACTGACACGCCCCTCCCCCCAGTACCTCATGTTGCAGTTGGTAACGCTCCTATTGATAGCATCAAGCTGAGGGCCTAGTAAATCATTTCTTGTCCAGAAGTTACCACCGCTTGCTGGAGAACTAGAGCAGGGCCCACTCAAAGCCGATGTGCTGCAGCGTCCTGCTCGTTTCCTCTCAGGTTATTCAGTCTTCGTACATGTTACCGCAACCAACAGCCATACTAACGTGTCTTCCTGTGCGTGTTAATTATTAGATGCTGTTATGAAGCAGTTTTCTGAAATAAGATTTGAAATTGAAAAAAAAAAAAGGAGGGGTAGTTTCAAGTTTAAATCTTTGGAGAGCATGTTATCTCTGGCATGTGTACTTGTCATGTATAGTCTTTTCATCCTAAGGATTATAGGAAACAAAAACCTAATAAAGTAGTTTTGATTATTTAGCAAAACTCTCAGATATTTAAAAAACAGCTGTTTTGCTTAAATACTGTATGACAGTATTTTTTTTCCAATGGTAGAAAAGTGCATTTCGAACTTGTTTAATTTTACATGGACTCTGGAACCGTGGATGCTGGGGCTGTGAGGGTGGGACAGGAGCATCGACAGGCGGCCCTGAGCGTCAACAAAGAGTCCTTACTCTTTGGCAAGTAGTAAGTGCTAGTAAATGTAAAAATTGTGAATCCCACGTGGCTTCCTCCGATACATGCGTCCTCTCTCCACCTTCAAAGAAGATTAATTACTCCTCCCTCCATGTTACCACTGTGAGTCTGCTGGTGAAGCACTGATCTGGACACATATGTATGTCTCTTCCCACAGCAGCTTATAAACAGAACCTGTGCAATTTACCTGTACGTTTCCAGGGTACAGTGACTGGCACATAGTAGCTCTTCGGTGATGCTTGTTGAAGGAAATGGAATTAATACTTTTACTGCACATTAGCATAGAAAAGCAGCATAATTCTTGGTTGTTCTCTGAAATACTGTGAATTATATATATTACTTGTAGTTGTGAAATCAAAAGTAGAACTCACAACTTGTGGAAAGTTCAGTAGACATGTCTGTTTTAACAATTAAATAGAATTGTAAAGAATAATGTTTCTTGGATCTTTATTTTCTTTCCTTTTATATGTCCATATTCTGCTGTTTTCTTTTGTGACATGTTTCAATTTATGTGTATATTTCTTTTTCTACATTGGTGTTCCCTTCTGTTTTCAGTCACTGAACATACTTTCTGTTTTTTCTTCTTCGTCTCATTTGTGCTGTACGGAATTGACAGCATATTGTCAGGGCAGAAATAGTGAAGTACCCGGAAGAAGATCTTCAACGTACCAACTCTGCTCAGAGTAGACTCTGTTCCGTACAGTAGTGCAGGTATAACAGATCAGTTATTGCAGTTTTGGGGGGGAGGTGGTGAGAACTAGTGAATGCTATCTTGTTCTTTTTCCCTTATGAATAGAGAAGTTCAAATGATTATTGTACATTATTGGAATTAATATTGCATACGTCCTGTTTTAGAACTTTGAAAAATTGATCCTTTGCCAGGACACTTATGAATTAAACAAGAAATTGGGAACAAATTAAAATAACAGTTCAGTTACTTTCACACGTATTTGTCTTTATGGTTGTGTTTATTACATGTGCAGTGAAGTGGAGAAGTGAGGCAGTTATTTCATTATTCATTCCTTACCATTTTCCTGAAATAGCCTGGTAATTGAAAGAGTATTTCTAAAATTTGCCTTGAATTACCCTTCTTTGTACGCTTGTGTGTGCAGACTAAGTAAAAGCATTGAAAACAGTAAAGTATTTGTTTTAATTTAAATTATTACTTAGAGATGAATATTAGGGCATATTGCTAAATTTATCATTTAAGATAATCCTTGAATGTGGGTTAGAGGGAAGGAAGGAAGAGTTAAAAGTATCTTTTGGTTTAAATTATTTTAGAAACATGAGTATGTGGTAATTTTCTAAATTTCTCATTCTGTATTTTGTTAGTCATTAGTAAGTCAGGGATTTGGGAGGAAAGTTTTAAAAATTGGCAAAGTTTTAAATATTGGGTTGCTTAAAACATTTCTCCTTTATATGTGATTCGTCTTTAACATTTATACGTCTTCTCACTAACTCACTAATTGCTGTAAACATTCTAAAAAAAGTTATGGCTGGGGATAGTGGTTTATGGAAATATTAATAAATAATGGCATTTTTCACTTTGAAATAACAAAGTCTTGTCTATCAGTTAAACTATGTGAATGATTAATTTTAATTCCTTTGCCTTAAGTTATAACCAGGGTTTAATATTTCATATTAATTTGTTGGGTTTTTATTAGACTTGTGATCACCTCAAGCTTATGTTGTAAAATCAGGGAAGACCCAATAAAGAAATTGTTATTAGATACTTAAGAAAAAACCCAGCCCCCTTCCCTTCCAGCCCCAGTTCTGCATGTTTGTTCTGGTTGATTCTCCTAATATCAGCTCCTGCTTCATTTATGATGTCTGTCATCAGGAGTTCACCTAAGTTCAGAAAATAAAAATATACTTTAAGGAGCTCTTTCTAAATGTTCTGATGTCCTGATAATAACTCTGTTTTCTTTTATGACAGAGGGTGGTGAAGGCAGATATTGTAAACTACAACCAGGAACCTGTGTCAAGAACTGTTAACCCTCCTCGAAGCTCTATGTGTGCAGTTCAGTGAGCGCGTTTTTCTTTGGTATTGATGGTTCTGGCTGCCCTTTGCCTCCGTGTGGGCCCGAGGACCGCTAGGAGCTTGTTTTATCGGTGACCATCTCTATAGTTCAGTTAACACTTTCCTCCCGGCTCGCTTCACCATTAAGTGTTGCCTCGCAGCCACAGGCCGCCCCTTGGACTGGAAAGAATTCAACTTCGGGACCACACACTTTGAATTCAAAATGGAAAGCCCATTCTCTGGAATTAGACTGCTTCGTTGAAAAAGAATAATGTTGGTTCTCTTTAATGTCCTCACTTCTTTTTTTCCCAGATGTCAATTTTTTAAAACAAATATGGAAACTATCCAAGTCTTGATCATCAGCCAGGATTTTGCCACAGCATGTTTTTATTTTCTTATCTGAACTCACACATGGCAGAGTATGCTTGAGTACAAACATTTAAACAAGTAATATATTTTTATCTACAAATAGTAAAGAAGGCAAATCATTTGCTATCTATTGTGAGTGAAAATATATAAAGCTGTATCTAACTGAAAATGCTTGAAATAAAGCTGTAATAGAAATATATTTTTTTCATTTTTTAAAAAAGGACCTAAATTGTTTATATTGTATCTATAGCTCACAAAGTGGTATTTGATATTGTATTTTTATCACTGCATCATGGTCTTTGTGTATTGTGGAATACTCAGGTTAGATGGCTGTACAGATTTTGATTAACGCGCAGCTGACGCTCCACACGGACCTGCTCCGGCAACTGCATCCGAGTCCTCTCAGAACGAGTTCTGACTGTTGTTGGATCATTGTGGGTCAGTCTTGTACCTGATGTTCAGATGTTTTTCTCCTACAAATAAATTTATTTAATCTACTTTTTGGGGACATTTTTGTTTTAGCCATCTTCTTTTAGTTAAAGAACACAAAGTGCACTTATCTGTAACATCGGCGATTGCATGAAGTTTAATACGCAGTCATGTCGAATTGTGAGGTTATTGTGTTGTGCTGACTCAAGTCCAGACTCCATTGGCTGGCATTTCAGGGGCTGCACGGCAGGGCGTCCTCCCTCTTTTTCTTCTTTCCTGTCACTCCTCGGTGCACGCTCTGCCTCTGTGCAGAGGCCCACCCCTGCCTGCTGTTCGCTGCTCCACCTTCCGGTCTTTCTGCACAGGCCCCTCTACCTGGAGCTCCTCCCTCGTCTCCGGACGTCGCCAGCCAGCCTTTGGCCATCGCGATGGCAAGGGCTCTGCCTTGGTCACGGTCGTGCCGTGTTTTTGTGCTGAGGCACAGTGCCTAGCCTGGTGGGTGCTTTGTATGTGCTACATCGGAACAGGAATGAATGCTGCCCTTCCAGAAAGTCTCCTCATCTCCATGGCCGGAGGTGCCACACGAGTACCTCTGGGATGGCCATTGCCCCTTCTTGCCTTGAATCACAGTCATTTGTGTCCTTGCGTTTTAATGTGTCATGGGTCACAAGCCTAAGGGCAGTTCAGGGTCTGCTCTAGTCCTTGTCTCCCGGGACGGCCCAGGCAGGGTGCCTTGCACAATTTCTGCTACAGGTGTGTGTGGAAATTTTGGACACCTAATTTTACAGCTGCAAGAAATTTTAGAAAACCTGTTATTTCACATCCTGTGTGGCTAAGGAAATTGAAGTTGGGAGAGAAAAAAGAACTTGCCAGGTCGCAGAATCACAGAGCCAGACCCCCTAGGAAATCTTCCATCTCAAGGGCAGGGTGACACTGGTCAAGAGTGATTTGAAATTTAAGAAAGGTTAAAAATTATGATTGCTATGCTAATTCGGCAGTCCAATCTTATTCTACTTTTATTTTTATATTTTTTCATTGTATAGTGATTAAGTATCTTTTTTTTTTAAAAAAAAAAATCTTCATCTGAGGATATGTTTATTGGCTTAGGAAGGAAGAGAGAGAGACAGAAACATCGATGTGAGAGAAAGGCATCCATTGGTTGCCTCCTGTACACGCCTGGACTGGGGAACACAACCTTTTGGTATACGGGACAATGCTCCAGTCAACTGAGCCACCTGGCCAGGGCTAAGCATCCTTTTAATAAGCCTTTCAAGGTTGTAAGTCCTTCAACGTAATTTAGTTTATCCTTCTTGTCAACATCTTCCTAACATATGCCGGTAAGTTTTCTAGGGAGAACGTATTTTCTCTATATTCTTTAGGAGACTGTAAAGTTGAATAAAAGAGATCTCAACCCTTGAGCACCTTACAGTCTAGTAGGAGAAGTTTCTATTTTTGCTGTTGTTTCTGCAAAGGCTGTGATTGATTGGAATATGTCCAACAAAACTGCCCTCGGTTTGACATTCAGTAAGCGATGCAGCCATGCTCTTCTGGTCATTTTGTAGTGTTTTCACCTCTACTTGAAAACTTTAGGATTTTCTTTTTTTTAGTCCAGTTATTGCAGTATTCAAAGGTATGACTTCACACACATATATAAGATCATACAAGCTGGAGTGCTACAGGCATTCTATAAGAGTCAGAAAGAACTTATAAAACACGTCAGTTGTGTGTGTATAAAGTTGGAGCACTAAGTGGCACTGATCAGGGACAGGGAGAGAATGGCCCTTGTAGTGTTGCTCTGGCCTGGATGTTTCCAGCCACGGGTCACATGAGCTCTTTTTCCCCTCATTCTAGTCTATGACAGAGCTGACATCCCCCTTTTACACATGAAGACACTTACGTAGAGAGTCGTTGATAACACCAAGTCCTCCTGGAGGCAGTGGTAGAACCAGGGTCCCCACAAGACCATCTGTTTCTGAGACGGGATGAGTGGGGCTGGGTACCGAGCGAGGCTGCCTGCCTTCTGTGAAGATACACCCCTGACCTCCTTCCTGAGAACGGACTGGGCCTGGGTGTTCAGCTGCTCTTGTGGAAAGTGGTGATGGCAAGTGCTGATCCACCCGCCTTCTCCCACCGCCCCCTGCCCACTGCCCACCGCCCACCGCCCACCACCTAGGCCGGCGGTGTGGGTCTCGAGTCTGGGAGCGGTGAGTTAGCCCTCTGTACCCTGAGGTGAGGGCAGAAAATGGGCCCTCCCCTGCCCGCCTTGGGCCTCCTTGGTTTTGTGTCTCTCCCAGCTAAACTTGACCAGTCAGGGAGAGCCTTTTGGCTCGAGGACAGCAGTCACAGCGAACATGCAATACGGCGCATGGCCAAAGCAGATTTCTGAATTCCATATTACAATTTTCCCCATACCTCGGGTTTTATTTTTGAAACAAAAACGTAGGATTCATGCTTATTTTACTTTGTTACCTCTCCTGTCTACAGTTTTTAATTTAAAAAATTACAAGTCTTTCCATCTAGTTTTAGGCACTTTGTCTCCTGAAGGCGCATGCTATAAAGTTTCAGACTCATTGTGGTCACTTTTGCTGCTTATTGAACTTTTGAAAAACACAAAAGTTTTCAGCCAGAACTGGTCATTGGACGTTGCCTTTCAAGTGCACCCTCTATTATGTGTGGCAAACCGCTGTGGAGTGGTTTTTGGAGTGGCCCAAGGAACTCCTGTGACTGCTTTATTATTCCAGGAGGAGGTAAGCCAGGGCCCTTTAAAGTCGATCACTGAAACAATGTGATGGAGCATAATCATTTGTGTGTCATTTAAAAATAGAAAGGTTTTCTGGCCCTAACCCATGCAAGTGATTGCTGTAATGTTGGATATCCTGAAAAACAGTTGCAAGATTCAGAGGAAATGGAAATGCAGACCCGCTGAGCATTGTGGTCGACATCTGTCCGCTGCCTCCCCCGCATCCAGGTCACTTCTCCCAGCAACGTTTGCCTGAGTTTCTGCTGGAGCCCGCCTGCCTTCCCAGCTACTCACAGCTCTAGAGGCAGATCCTTATTGGCTTAAACGCCTTCGGATATTATTTCCTCCTGGCCTAAGTGATGGGCTCAGAAATGAGCTAATAACTCCATTAGGGCTAATGAAGCTGGAGGGGAGGTTTGCTGAGGGCTCGGAAAAAGAAAAGAGTTTTAAAAAAGGAAGAAGACAAAAATCTTCTATCCCCCGAGGTCCAGAGGACTCTGACTCCTGGACTCGAGTGAGAAAGGCTAGCCCCGAGCGATGCTGGCAGCCATCTTGGGGAGACCAGGGGGTGCCCACCCAGGTCCGGAGCTGCCGCCGGAGGAGCAGAGGTGAGAAGCGGAGAGAACCCTGTCCCTGGCACAGAGCCCAGATCAAGCCACGTCGCTGGAATTGTTTCATAGCATGACTCAGTTGTTCATGATTTTGGCTGGTGTTGGTTTATTTTATTTTATTTCTTTGTTATTTCTTACATAAGACCATTATTCACCAGATCTTTGCTCGGCACCAAAGACAGAGGTGAACATGATCTGAGTTTTGTCCTCAACATCTTAGTTTAGGCACATGTACAACTCAGCAAGATGTGATCAGACTGTTCATTGTTTCAATGAAACTATAATATAGGAAGATGGGGCTTCTCAGAGAGTGTAGAAAAAAGTGGATTTCCGATGACTGGAATCAGGGTCAACAGTTAACCCAATTGCCTTTGAAAGCTAATGTAATCTTATGCTATGTTAATGCAAAAAGAGTCTGGTCTCTGAGTTGGTTGGTGCATATAAATCTCGTGGAGAATCTTGACTCAGTGGGTTCAGGGTAGGGTTTGCAGTTCTGCATTTATAACAAGCTCCCAAAGGATACCCATGCTGCTGGCTTTTGATGAAATTGGGAGAGAAAGTTATTTGTCAAACTTTTTCAGAGCGCAAAATCATAGCATTCAAGCGGGGCCCCAGGGACGCGCAATGCTTAAGGACACAGTATCTGTCCGCAGGTGGCAGGGTAGCACGGCACCCTAGCTATTGGGAGGGAATCCATCCTGCTTGATAGTGCACGGGCTGCTGAGAGCAGGTCAGCTCTGGCTAGATGGGGCATAGGGAGCGGCCAGAAGAGATCTGATGGGCAAGTGAGGCTCGGACTGACAGCGTTGAGTGAGACAACCAGCCTCTGCTCCCAGCACCCAGCCTGGGGAGTGAGCCTTTGGTAGAGCAGGGCCTGTGGGCTGAGCTCAGAGCCCATGCATTCCATTCAGTCTGGCCCCTTGCGGGATCACTTTTCCACACTGGAGAGCTGGAGATGGGGGAAAGCAGGCTCTTTGTTTTAAAGTTCTCTTTCCAAGCCATGTTGAATGTGCTCAGCCCTCCCACACTATAGACTGAAGTAGACTCAAGGCTGGAGGTCAGGCTGAGGAGGCAGATATCGCTGGCGCTGCACAGATGCCAGCTCAGTCAGCCACTCGCATCTGAGCCTGGTGACTTGGCCTCCCGAATCCTTCGTTCAGCCGACTCCGCAGGCTGCTCAGGGGTGGGTTTCCCAGCCACGTGTCTCTCAGGCCTCTTCGCCTTTCCCACACTGCTGCTCAGGTTGCTGCAAACAGCCTGCTTCCTTCAGAGACCTCCACAGTCTGCCGCGTACACAGCCATGAGGATGAACGTGGCCCGCGGGTTTGAATTAAGTCGCTCTAGTTCCCGACTCCTCAGCGGCTCCTCACATCCTTTTCCATCCGAGGAAAATGACTTCCTCGGCCTGACTTTTAGAATCCTCTCCCTGCTCTCCCATCCTTCCTGCTGAGACATCTGTTTACTTCAACACCAGCGACAGCTTTGTTCTAGCAAGTGGCCCCTCACCTCTGTGACTCTATTGGGGTTTCCTCTAGGGAAAGAGGGTCCCTGAGGAGGCAAACTGGAAAACCTGCTTCTCTCGGCTCTAAATCCCATTGGCTGGATGACTCGTCACACCGCGTCACACCCGTTCATGTCCCTGGGCTGTTTCCTGGGGTCTGGCCATGGAGAGCTGTGGTGGGTGCTC